TTTTGGTGAGATCGACGTACGAAACTCTTCTTTATGCCCTTTCATACGAAACAAAAGTCACATTACAATGTTATCAAAGACATTCATTGAAACTCAGTTTCTCCAAATACCTAAAATATTTTAATTGCAATAAAGATTCTTAAAAGTAACACCTAAAAAAATTGATCAAAACCACATGGAAAATATGCTGCAACAAACAAAGATTTTTGCTTATGTAAAACAGGGGTAATAAATGAGGTTAAGTGTCAAATAAGTTATTATAGTTGTTAAGCTATTAAGAATTGATATTTCTTTCCCTCAACATTTCAAATTATCCCATAAGATATCCATTGTATCTTCAGTATTGGTGATATGTGTCCTTATGCCCTTGAATTCTAAGGTGCTAATTTAAGCAGATAAGCAAGCAAATATCAATTCTTACCAGCTTAATAATAATAATGTATTTTACACTAAATTCATAAGTTAGACTGTTTTACTTCAGCAAATATCTTTGGTTATTGCAGCATAATTTACATGCGGTTGTGATAAATTTTTCCAGGCTGCGTTTCTATCAACATTGACTCATTGCAACGGCAATATTAGTTTTCATTTAAAGAAAACCGATTATAAAAATGAGAACCATTTATATTTAATTATATTCCTTTTATATATATAAACTTTTTTATGTTAAATTTACTATACTGCTTGCAGTCTAACATATATGTATGAGTACTAATAATTTATGCTTTTGTTTAAATATGTTAGATTTGCTATATATGCGTTTTGCTTCTTTTTCGGATGTCAGCTGATCCTCTTCGTTGCTTATCATGGAGGAAAGGGAGGGTGATGTTATGAACTTCATGGTATGTTTTTGATTTTAAATCATTTCTTTTATTTCAGAATGATCCTCAAAAGCGGCCTTCCAAGGACAAGGTTGTTTTGCTTGTTTTTTTAATCATAATCCTTATTCTAGGCTCTTGGTTATGAAAAATCTCGGTCGATTTCAAAGTTAGAACTGGAACTAGAACCACTACTTCGCCCAAACCCTCGTCGGTTTGTGATATTGCCAATCCAATATCCGGATATCTGGCAATTTTACAAAAAGGCTGTTGCTTCATTCTGGTCAGTTGAAGAGGTTGATTTGTCCAAAGACATTGTGCAATGGGATGCACTTAAGCCAGGAGAGCGACATTTTATATCGTACGTTCTCGCTTTCTTCGCTGCCAGTGATGGAATTGTGCTGGAAAATCTGGTGGAACGGTTTAGTCAAGAAGTTCAAGTACCCGAGGTCCGATGCTTTTACGGCATGCAGATGGCAATAGAAAATATTCACTCGGAGATGTATTGTCTTCTGATTGATACATATATCCGAGATCCAGTGGAAAAGTATGTATTTTTAAATCTAAGTTTCTTAGAGATTTCTTGTTTAATGCCATCACAAACCTCGATTGTGTACACAAAAAGGCGCAGTGGGCCCTTGACTGGATTGGTGATACAAAGTCAACGTTTGCCGAGCGTATTGCAGCCTTTGCTGCAATCGAAGGAGTCTTCTTTTCCGGCAGTTTTGCGTCTATATTTTGGCTTAAGAAGCGTGGCCTGATGCCAGGCTTGACCTTCAGCAATGAACTTATTAGTCGCGACGAAGGCCTTCACACCGACTTTGCTTGCCTTCTGTTCAAACATATCGTGAAAAAGCCCGATAAGGAACGTGTTTATGCTATATTCAAGGAGGCATTGGAGATAGAAAAGGCTTTCTTTAATGAGGCCTTACCCGTAAAACTGATTGGCATGAACTGTGATATGATGTGCCGTTACCTCGAATTTGTTGCCGATCGCTTGCTATACGAGCTTGGTTACGAGAAGATTTGGAATGCTGAGAATCCCTTTGATTTTATGGAGAATATCTCGATCGAGGGCAAAACAAACTTCTTTGAGAAGCGTGTTGGGGAATACCAAAAAGCGAACATTATGTCTCGAGCCAGAGGCGAAGAGACACATACGTTTACTACTGAGGCGGAGTTTTGATAATATTGCTGTCATTTTCACTTCTTTAATATTATATTGACCTATTATTTCTTTACTCAATATAACTTTATTTGTCCATATGTCGTTGCTTCTGTACAATCTGCTCCCAGCCTAATATATCTTTCCTTACCGCGCTAGTAGGTTAGCTTAGGTCCGCAGAGTAAATCAGGGATGGGGGGAATAGCAAACCTTTGGGTGAGACGGCTTTCCGAGCGTCCATGTTAGTACTAGGTGTTTTTTGGACTGTCATTCTGTCGTACACCACATTGTGGGATAGACCAAACTCGTATTACCTCCGGTCGCCACAGTTTTTAGTAAGCTGCACCAACCGGGTCTGTTTCCCTGCCGCTGCGTCTCAAGCGATGCAGATCGCGCTAGCGCAACTATGGTTTTAACGGTTACGGCTGGCAAGTTGAATACCGTTTTAGCCTATACTAAGTTGGTACGTGCATAGGATTTATGCATCATAAACCTACTTCTTTATGTGGCTGGTCCAAGTAGCGACTGAAATTAGAT